GTTTCAAACCAGAATTTGACAGTCAAATTTCCTCCCCGAGACAAAAGAAGAGGCTGCAAAGGAGACTATAAAAAACTCGACCCTAAAGATGAGTAAATGTTATTCATCAAAAATGGAATGTCCACAATGACTTTCTGTCATGCAATCGATGTTCTGCTCTRACAACCTTTTTAGAAACGGCTGTGTGTTATGAATCACGATGATGGATATTTTCACACACTATAAAATGTGTTGTATTTTCAGGATAATGAAACAGAGGTAGAGGAAGAAAAGGAAGAGGTACAGTCTCATCTTGAACAATGAGTTAGATAAACTACACCAGATTGAAAAAAAATGTTGCCGAATTCAAAAAGATCACATTAAAGCTAAGACAGAAAAGGTTCTTGGGAAGGCCAATAATTACTGATGATATTACGCGTTTAACAAGACGTTTCAGCTTCCAAACTTAACACTATCTGTCTGCACTACTCCAAGTCCATGAGAAACATTATTAAAATTTCTGATCACCCAAAGTCCTCTTCAGTCTTTCAGCTTCAATGATGTTAACTTTTGCAACCCGACAACGTTTTCAATTAGGTGTAATTGACCTTGCTTTGAGTCGGGTCCATGTTTTTTACACTATAGTATTAGTTAAGAGATTGGAGTGACTCACATTCTTGTACCCAGATCATCATTACTTTCCCAACGGTAAATCGAAGGCTCTGGTTGAGACGAATGTGTCTTTGATTTGATGTGTTCAAATATTCCCATGCGCCAACAGTATGCATATCATGTACGAACCAGATTCTAGGTCTTCTATTATCGTCTCAAACCAGAGCTTTCGATTTTCCTTTGGGAAACTGAGAATGATCTGATACGAGAATGAAGTGACCCATTGACCCAACACTCAATCCTGTCGCCCAGATTGGTGTTTACAGACTGAGTGCAAAACAATCAGAAATTTACAGCAACGCGTTTCCCTATTAAAACAATCTCTTTCAGGACAACAAATCAGAGACAATGGAAGTGGAATCAGAAAAGACAAGTGAGAAAGACGAGGAAGAAGATGACATGGAATCAACTGTCAGTGAAAAGAAAGATGACAGTGGTGATGAGCAGGAAAGTATTGATGATGATGAATCTGGAGATCGGTCTAAAGATGAATCCTATCTTGACAGAGCTAGTACTATTGGCTCAGAATCAGTTCCTGCAAGTCCTGCTTCACAGGGGTGAGTGGTGGGAAAAATGTCTGAGGAGAGTTTTTCGAGAAAATTTGTCTTTGTTTTCTGTGCCTGGGAGGGGGAGGGGTGATGCAGTTTTTATATCTATCAGTCATCTATTCAGTTTTTTATTTGATCGTTCACTTGATTTAGACATTCATTCTGGCATCCCCTTTAACCGGTTTAAACATTTCTTTAAGTACACATGTATTTGATCGTCTGGCCGTCTTGGGCATACTCTTGCCATCCCATGAATGCTTACTATAGATTTGYAGTTTTGAAATGCTCATACTTCAAAGTTTTTTATACATAAATTCATTCATCGTCCGCCAAACTACTGGAGACTGACTCTYGCTCCAAAACAAAAGAAGCRAAACAAAAGCGGCAGGACTAGACATGCATTTCGGTAATATTCTCCTCTTCAATGCATTCAAATGACTTTGTTTTTCTTTTGTCAAGTGATCTGGATTCAGATGCCCTACAGGCTCAAAAAAACTGGAARAAGTCTATCATGCTGGTATGGAGGGCTGCAGCCAATCACAAGTAAGTCGTCCTGTTTTCTRGCACTCCTTTGCCCACATCTTGAATAACAAATACTTCAGTTGCTCTATTTAAAAGACAAGAATGCACAGTGCCATTTGTAGCAAGCGTCTCTGTTATTACGAAGGGAGAAACAACGGAAAAATCTTAAAAAAGAATAATACTGAGAAACGTGGTTGCTTTCGTGAAAGAATGCGGAGGAGATATATCACCTTTTGAATTCAGACCGCGAACGTGTTCATATTTTCCACACATGCACTTTGAACCGATTTTAGTACTTTCCTCCTCACAGTACGCCATGTATGTGTTCAGTATTTTGTCAGCAGAATGCTTGTCCAATCTTCTTGAGTCCTCTCGAAATTCCAAAGTGCTGTATAACTCTTGTGCTTTTATTATAAAGACTGATTCTCTACCAATCAGATTGTGTGTACATGTACTATAAATGTTTTACAATATTTCTTAGATATGCCAATGTGTTCCTGCATCCAGTTACTGATGATGAAGCCCCTGGTTACCATGGCATTGTATTTAGGTGGGTTACTGCAGTATTCAACACGATCGAATTCTCACTGAACTACTTAATTCGAGACTCCTYGCTCAAAATTCTCTCTAAATTGGTTTTGAATGAGGAGTTTAGATTAATTGAAATTTGAAATTTGTCTTTTCTTATAATAATAAGTATTAATTMAATGTGCGTACCTTTCAGGCCTATGGATTTGACTACAATCAAGAAAAATATAGAAAACGGAGTAAGAAATATATACCATTTTAAAAATATTTATTTGTATATTATATGTTTCCTTTAGAAATTGCATGGACTAACTTCTTTGTCATGGGTCAAACGTTGAATTTTGCATGTACTTTGGTACGTGCGCAATGAATGGTATCCAATACATTACAAAGTACATGTAGGACTCAACGTTTGGGCCTGTCCTTATTAATTGGATGACATATAGCATTTAGGAAAWTCTAAATCGATTCTGCTAGTTAAACAGATCCAAATAACAAAAGAACTGTCTTTGGGTTTGGTCAGTCAGACCTCCCCTCCCCCCAACCCCTCACAAACAACAAATAATGCTATTTTTGTGATCCCCAAAACATGACTTAATAGGTTCAAGCATTTCACAGAAGTTACTACTAAACTTTCTTTTTTGTTTTTATTGATTTGTTCTCAGTCCATTCGTACCACGAGTGAGTTTCAAAGAGATATGATGYTGATGTTCCAGAATGCATTGATGTACAACAACGCTGATCATGATG